TTGTATATTAATCAGAAACAAAGAGAATTCTAGAATTTGACAATCCGCCATAATTCGGCTAAAGGTATTGCGAATCTAGACTCTTGTCAGTAGTCGCCAAATAACGAGGCATTGATTAATCTTAAGCTATTAGTCTCGTACGTAAAGGCGATGACATTTTGCTTCTAGCAGTCCTCCTCGACTTGAGACTGCCGATTTAGAATAAGCATACACTCGTAGTTATAAGGCTTACTTAGGAATAATCTTTCGAATGTATACATTATGTTTATTGACAATACTGTCTTGCCCTATGTTAAATTATTTTCGGTCTAATATTTCGGCCTTTGTACTACAGTTTTTAGACATTTTTAACAATTATTATAATAAATATTTTATGTACACGTATGTAGGAATAGCACGGGACGTGCAATTAGTATTAAGATTGAAGCATTTATTGTACTAATAATATAGTAATAATGTACGCTCTATGCGCCCTAACATCAAAGTTAACATCAACGAAATAGTGTCACTATAACATATATTAACCTTCGTGCACATTTCTGTAAACTTTGCAAATACGATACAATTAAAATGTTCTTTCAATTACAAATATACGATAACCAAATAAACCAGGTGTTTTATTAAAAAGTCCTTGTTGTAAAAAAAATTGGAAAAACCCACATGCGGGAAAAGGTCAAAACTACAAGTTAATAACAGCCGAAGAAGCTAGTTTGCCATGGTAACGGTAATTTTTAGCCGCCATCTTATGAAAAGAATAAAAAGCCTACGGAATGTAAACAATAAAATAAAGTTTTCATAATATAAGGATGCTACCCCGCAAGGAAACAGCTAATAATATAAGGATAATTTCTTAATTCATTTTCATTTTTCTAAGTCAAAGCTAGGCCTAGTCTATACACAAGCACTGCCTTGCTAGTTATAAACCAAAGCAGTAAAATTGAAACAAAACTATTATAAATAATATGAAATTCCATCAATTCGCTACCAATGTTGTATAACAGACATATTGGAATCTCAAAGATAAAATATTGCAATATAACGGAGCACCTTAAATCTATTTTGATAAATGGAAACAGACTAATTTTGTTTGTAGTAGTATTATATTTGTTAATTATGCAGTAACAGATGGCAGTTTTACGAATAAAATTACTAGTTCAATTACTATACGATAGATGACGCTATTTAGTATATCTTTGTAGTGTTTTTATTATTGTATTTTTAATATTAGAATAGTATATTTTAAATTATAAAGAATTGTATATTTGATGTTGGATACATGACTTCACATCTCGACACGTACCAAGAAAAATAGTAGGACTTATAGAATAGACTGTATAAAATGTGGTTTTGATATTGTAAACGGAGACGGAGAAAAGTAACCGTCCAACAGGTTATGGGGCCAGGATATTTGAAGATTTGAAATTTATTAATTTCTACAACAAATCGAAGTAAAAATATAACCATAACAACCAAATTGTTGACGAAAAATATTCATAGCAACCAAAAAAAGATGAACTCAATAAAAATCAAAGCATTTACGAATAAGGAAGACTACAAAATATGGTGGAAGCTAATTGAATTATTATTAAATTCAAAAGGAATAAAAATTAACATCAAGAATGAGGAAATTTTGGAAAGTAAAGGAAAGTTCATAATATTTAGCTTCATGGATGAAAAACAACTACATTATGTGTTAACTCTTGAAACAATTATCGAGATTTTCAAAAAATTGGATTTCATTTTTGATTTTAATATAAGAAAAGAAGATTCGAAAATTATACTAAAACTTTTTGAGAAGCAATGTACAGGAATCATTTTGGAAGACATAAATTTATTACAAAAATTACAATCGGAAATAGGAAATAAAGAAAACAAAATTTCAGAAGAATTGTTCATTTAAAAAATTCTAAATTTATTACCGGAAAAATTCAATACATTCAGAACAATTTGGAATAATTCACAAATTGAAAATAAAAGTGTAGA